TACAAGTTGTGAAGTTTTCTTTCCATAATTAGGTCTAATTGACCTGGAATTTATCTTTGTGTATGGTATGAGATGAGCATCTAATTTTACTTATTTCTACACGGGTAATTCCCCTTTCTTCACCTCTTGTAACATACCTCTGTCTTAGGTCAAATTTCCATATATGTGTAGGTATATTTCTAGGGCCTATAATCTGTTATCTTCCTGTATTCTTACACCAGTTCCACTACTGTAACAATAAGATCTTAAAGTAAGTGTTGGTATCTGGTAGAATTAGTCCTTTCTTTGTTGTTCTTCAAAAGCATCTTTGCTATTCTTGGCCCTTTACTTTTTCTAATTTTTTTTTTTAAGATTTATTTATTTTAGAGAGACAGCATGAGCACGCACAAGCGGGGGGGATGGGGGGGGCAGAGAAAGAGGGAGAGAAAGAATCTCAAGCAGATTCCCCATTGAGCAGGGAGCCTGCCATTGGGCTCAATCTCACAACCCTGAGATGATGATCTGACCTGAAACCAATAGTCGGATGCTCAACCAACTGAGCCACCCAGGCACCCCTCTTTCTTACTAATTTTATAATCAGATTATCAGGTTCCTCAAACAAACAAACAAAACAAAACAAAACTAGGGCTTTCAACTGGCACTGCATTGGATTAAGATAAATTTGTGAACTTACGTCTGTGTGATGCTGAGTTTATCCATTCATGAACATGGTTTATCTTCCCACTTACTCAGGTATTCTTTCATATGCACTATATATTTCTTGTACCTCTTGTTAGATTTATTTCTAAATACCTTATAGATATTTTTATACTGTAAGTGAAATCACTTTTCCTGTAACGTTTTTCTAATTGATTACTATTGATAAAAGAATGCAATTTTAGTGTTTCTTGTCTTTTGGCAACCTTGACGAATTATCTTATTTTTAATGATTGATCTAAAGATTTGCTTGAATATTTTTATGCAGACAATCATGGAGTAAGTCTTCTTTTGCTTCCTTTCTACCTCTTACATATCACATTGCCTTCCCTTATTGCAATGATTAGTAACTATAATATGGTAGCTGAACGAAAAAGTGATTACACAGTATTCCTGTTTTGTTTTTGCCTTTCAATGGAAATCCTTTTGAAACCCCATCATTAATTATGTTTGGTGCAGGGTTTTATTGGCTCAAGAGTTTGTTGTTGTTTGTTTTTGGAGAGAGAACACGTGCATGCACATGTGCACGCACACGAGCTGGGATGGGGAGGGAGGGCAGAGGGAGAGGAAGAGAGAGAGAATCTTAAGCAGGCTCCACGCCCAGTGGGGCTTGATCTCAGGACCCTGAGATCATGACCTGAGTCGAAATCAAGAATCGGGACACTTGATCAACTGAGCCACCCAGGCACCCCTCCTGCTGTTTTTGTTCATGAACAAGTGCTAAGCTTTAACAGATGCTTTTTCTAAGCCCACCAAAATGACTGCCTAACACCTAGGTTGGGACCTATTGATTATAATGAAATAAATTTCATGTACTGGCAGACCAGAATTTTTTTTTTTTTAAGAAAGAATATAACAGAGGGACCAAGATATTAGATATTGTTTAGTAAAACTTTCATTTTAGCTGCTTACACAAACACACATATATGTGCTCTGAGTTGCTAAGTAAAACATGCTTCTTACAGTGTATTGTATACAAAAAAGTTTGAAAGCAACTGATCTATACTATTTTGAAGCATGAAAAACCACTATAAAGGCCAAACATCTTACTGTAAGGTTTTCTTAAAAATAAATAGCACAATGCTTTTGTTCATTTAAAAATACTCAGCTTTTCCTGTTATCTTTATCTAAGTAATAATGTTTTAGGGGCACATGGGTGGCTCAGTCGTTAAGAGTCTGCCTTCCGCTCAGGTCGTGATCCCAGGGTCCTGGTATTGAGCCCCGCATTGGGCTCCCTGCTCAGCGGGAAGCCTGCTTCTCCCTCTCCCTACTCCCCCTGCTTGTGTTCCCTTTCTCGCTGTCAAATAAATAAAATCTTTTTAAAAAAATAAAAAATGTTTTAAATTTATTTTAATATTTTAAGCATTATTATTATTATTAACATAATAAGTCCTAATCCCTTGATGGAGAAAATGACCCACATTCACAGAAACATCTGAAGTCACTAAAAGTAAAAAAGTAAACTATAAATTTCTGACAAGGATTCTTTTTCAAGGATCACTTCTACAAAATGTTATATGTGTATTTCTAGGGTGAGGGTATACAGCTTCCATCATGTTTCCAAACATATCTGTGACCTTAAAAATGGACAGAACCTCTACTCCAAAAAGTTCAATGTTAGTTTATACTTCTTTTAAAAATCATTTTTTTAAAAAGATTATTTTAGAGAGAGCGAGCGTGCATGTGAGTGCGTGTGCCTGCATGAGTAGGGGGAGGGTCAGCGGGAGAGAATCTCAAATAAACTGAGTTCCCTGCTGAACATGGAGCCTGATGCGGGGTTCAATCTCACGACCCTGAGATCATGATCTGAGCCCAAACCAAGAGTTGGACACTTAACTGACTGAACCACCCAGGCGCCCCTAGAAACTATACTTCCAAAATCAGAAGGTAACTTGGCATTTGTATTACTTCTATCACATTTTCTGTACTTTAGTACTGAGTCTGGCTTAGTCATCTCTTAACTGTTTATATTACCTCATACTTCACTAACTGCCCAGCCTTGTCGGTGGTTTATTAAAAACAAGCATGCCCTCAGAATCCATCCACACATATATGACCATTCAATGTTTCTCTTCACCCATCACTCCTAAAACCTTCCTCTAGAACATTTTAAGATTGTTCCTTGCTTGCGACCAGAAGTAATATCACCCGTCTTATTCACCGGATTTATTTCTGGAAGATTTGTGGCTGCTTCCTGATTATGCTGATTATGATCTGTCACCAGTGAGGCTATTTAAAAGAAAGCAACTCTCAAAGAGGAGCTCCAACATGTTCTGCACAATAGCAGCATTGTTGGTGTAAGTAATCTACCCTACCAGAGAGACTACTTAAAGGACAACAACCATTTGGATGTAATTATTTTGAAATCTGGTTTTTTTTACAACTCACAGCCCCTTCTTGATATACCATGCATGCCGACGTTCTCTACAAAAGCCACCTTTCTTTCTTTTGGGGGGGGGGGGCAGGGAGGAGCAGAGGGAGAGGGAGAGAGAGAATCTTAAGTAGGCTCTACACCAGCACAGAGCCTGACATGGGACTCAATCTCTCCCAACCCTGAGATCATGACCTGAGCCCCCAAATCAAGAGTTGGATACTTAACCAACTAAGCCACCTAGGTGCACCCAAAAGCTACCTTCAAACAACTCAGCATTACATAGACATTTTAGGGACCACAGTATTCATCTTAGCAATGATGTTGACATTGAGTGCCAAGTACGGTAAGTCTAAAGAATATAGTATTACTGCTTCTAGTCACAATGTTTAAAAACTCCTATAATTCTCTCTTCCTCTCCCTCTGCCCCTCCCCCTGCTTGTTCCCTCTTTCTCTCTCTAAAATAATAAATCCTTTTTAAAAAATAAATTAAATAAGTAAATAAAAACGCCTAATTCAGGGCACCTGGATGGCTCAGTCAGAAGAGCATGTGACTCTTACTCTTGGGGTCATGGAGTTTGTGCCCGTTGGGTGTAGCAATTACTAAAAAATAAATAAACTTAAAAAAAAACAAAACTCCTTCTAATTCTGCAAAGCTATGCTAATTCCCTGGCTGCTGTTGGGATATACTGGAATGGTATCCAAACTGAAAGAAAGCTGTCTTTATAGTCTTAAAAAACGTTCCCAAATTAAGTTATATAAGATGCATAAATTTGTAAGTGCACTGAACAATCTATTATTTTTATGCCATTTTATAATCCCTAAACCAGTATTTTAATCATAGCAACCTGTTAACAATGATTACATCTGGTGAGTGGGACTGGCAGGAGTAGATGAGGAAAAGAGAGTTTTTGTTTTTGCTTTTTTTTTTTTAAAAGGACTTTTGCACTGTTTAAATATTTAAATCAAACATGTACTTTTTAATGAAAAATTGAATAAAGAAAAAGGGTACAATTATGAAATCAGAATCCCCACATTGATGTTATTCTACTCCCTGTCACCCCACCTCTAATCTCTTTCCAGGAGACTGCAGCACTCTGAGAGCAGGGACCTAGTGTGTCTTCTACAGCGTTCAAGCTCCCACAGAGGCATCCCCGTGAGGGATGCTAAGCATGTGTAGGGAGTAGAGGTGAAGGTGATGGGAGCAAGACAATTCAACAAGCCTTGAAGTGAGCATTAAAAAAAGCACTTCTATTTGGAAAGTAGACTTCAGAATACAAGGATCTGTTCTCTCTTTGAAATGCTACTTAACCTCTATTCACACCTCTAACTGCTGTGCTCCTTAAACATTCAGACCCCTGTTTGAATGATGGCCAGAGTAGTCCTCTAGAGTGTTAAATAATTGCTTAGGTCATTATTACCATAATTTTGAGAATATCATCCCAAATTTTATGTATGAAGTCCATTGCCAAGAGCCCATATGATATCTTTTTGAACTACCAGCCAAAATGCTAGTCACCTGTTAGAGTGACTTCACTCTTACTGCTTCTAAACTCTGAATTCCATTTTATATCTTCTTATCCAACAAACTTGCTTCATAGTGGATCACTCTTCTTAATAACCCATCACTTTCTCCATGAAGCTCATACACTTAAGCTTCAGCCTCATTTCAGGTCACAAGCCACAAATATAAATGCCTACACAGGGACCAGACAGATAACATTAAGTGCAGGGGTACGGTAAGCAATAACAGGGAGTACCAACAATAGAACAACCTTTTCTCAGGACTGTAAGTTTATAAAGAACAGGGTACTAGGAATGGGGAGTTCTAAAATCCTCTAATCTGAACTGTAAAATACAATACTGTGAAAAGAGGCCATGGGTTTAAATGAGGTCAGAGAAAACTAATGCATGAAAGCCGCTGTTGACAAACCTGTCCCAAATTTGCTGAAGGGATGTTTGGGATTCCCCGTAGCTTTTTCCAACTGAAAGAGTCTCCAGGCATCGTTCATCACATTCTTCTCATGTTCTGAATCAACTGCATTCACCTCTCTGTCTTTGCAACTCTCATCAAATAAGGGGCACAGGAAAAACTGTGCAAACCTAAGGGTGTGAAACATAATTAACAATTCAAAAGCTGTTATTTTAAAAGAGTGGCCTTTAAAAAATATGTTTGAAACTTAACAGATAAGAAATATGAATTCTACAGAACCAAAAAAACTACCATTGCTACCAAGAGAAAAGAAATGCGAAATAAGTTCTAAGTAACAGAAGAAAAATACTGGACATATGTAAATTCAGAGAAATCAATCTACCCCAGGGATATTAGTGAAAATACACTCAGTCGACACATTTATAATGCCAATCCCAAGTCCACATTGTACCTGGGCTTCTAACTAACTGGTTACAGATCAGAGGTTGCCACCACCCCCTCTGGTTCAATTATTTTGCTACAGCAGCTCACAGGACTCAGAGAAATGTTTTACTTACTAGATTACCAGTTTATTATAAAAGGATGTAATTCAGGAATAGCCAGATGGAAAGGATGCACAGGGCAAGGTACACAGGAAGAGGCATGGAGGCCACTCTCCCCAACCTCCATGTTTTCACCAACCTAGAAGTTCTGCAAACCCTGTCCTCTTGGGTTTTTATGGAGGCTTCATTACCTGAGCATGACTGATTAAATCACAAGCCATTGGTGACTGAACTCCAGCCCCTCCTCCCACTCCTGGAAGGTCTAGGGACAGGAGTGAAAGTTCCAACCTTCCAATCACAGGGCTAGCTGCCCTGGAAACCAGCCCCCCTCAGGTTACCTAAGGGCTTCCCCAAAGTCACCTTATTAACATACCAAAAGACACCTTTAATACTCTCATCATTTAGGAAATTCCAAGGGTTTTATGAGGTATGGGCCAGGAATAGACAGAAAAACCAAATATATATTTCTTAATATAAGTAAAAATATCACAACAGCAAAAAGTCAAGGCAGACTTACAAAGACTGTAGCAATCTATTTAAGATATGCAATTTGGCAAGTCATGAAACTCCTTCTTATGTACGGCTAATTCTCCAAAAAAGGAAAAGGCAGGTGACAGTTCTTGGGCAAATTAATCTTAAATTTACAGTTTTAGGTGCAACTGCAATAAGATTCAGACATTTTAGGACAAACTAAGTGACCTACATTTTTAAAAATTTCTTTTTAAGTAGGTGCCACGCTGGGCGTGGAGTCCAACATGGGGCTCAAACTCACGACCATGAGATCAAGACCTGAGCTGAGATCAAGAGTCGGACACTTAACCAACTGAGTCACCCAGGCACTCCAAGTGACCCACTTTTTAAAGGCTCTATTTGAATATCTTTTCTTCTTATGGAGAAAAACAAACTTTAACTAGTGGGGAAAAAATAATGGAATGAAAATCCTATGACACAGTAGTTTGACTAAGACACAATTATGGGCTTTTATAAAATATTAAGAGAATTTAAAAATTTTAATAACCAGTGATTCAACAAATAACATGGCATGTAACTCTAACATAAGTAATGAAATGCTTCTCTTGAGGCTATCCTTTAGTAGTAGTACCAAAGTTTAAACTAAAATAACTTTAGGGGGACACCTGGCTGGCCCAGTTGATTAAGCGTCTGCCTTCAGCTCAGAACATGATCCCAGGGTCCTGGGATCGAGCCTGCATCAGGATCCCTGATCAGCAGGGAGTCTGCTTCTCCCTCTGCCTCCCCCACCCTGCCCCCACTCATGTTTTCTCTCAAATAAATAAAATCTTTTTTAAAAAATAAAGTAACTTTAGTTATAAGTTAACTCTCCTGCATCAGGTTGCAATTTATTTATTTATTTATTTATTTATTTATTTATTTATTTATTTATTTATTTATAAAGATTTTATTTATTTATTTGAGAGAGAATGAGATAGAGAGAGAGCACATGAGAGGGGGGAGGGTCAGAGGGAGAAGCAGACTCCCTGCCGAGCAGGGAGCCCGATGCGGGACTCGATCCAGGGACTCCAGGATCATGACCTGAGCCGAAGGCAGTCGCTTAACCAACTGAGCCACCCAGGCGCCCCATCAGGTTGCAATTTAAAGCATGATTTCATATAGTGAATCTTAAGAAACTTTAGACCTCATCTTATAAAAACAAGATCCAGAATTCAGATGAAGCCATAAGCAGAGGCTGTCTGAATAGGGCCTAACAGGCTCCTGGATCTATAGACATCTCAGCAACTGTACCTCACAGTTCAGCTGCCAGACAGACTGTAATCACTACTTGATACTTATTTTATGCACATAGTAAATACGATACTGTGCTAAGCACTTTACACATACCAATCCAAAGGAAAACTCCATCTATCTGGAGTCTATAATCAAAGATACATAGATACAGATATTTCTGGACATGTAAGCTCTTTTACCTATCTCAATATGCTTAAGCTGGGAAAAGTGCCTAAAAGCTACATATCATAGCTGGATAGGTCCAATTAAAGGGTCATGATAACGACACAGTATAATCAATATTTTAAAAAGATGCTCTTATGAGGTGCCTGGGTGGCACAGTCCATTGAGTGTCGGACTCTTGGTTTTGACTCAGGTCATGATCTCAGGGTCGTGAGATGGAGCCCCATGACCATCGCTGCACTGAGTGCAGTGTCTGCTTAAGATTCTCTCTCCCTTTCCCTCTGCCCTCCCTCCACGCACATGTTCTCTCTCTAAAATAAATCTTAAAAAAAAAGAAGATGCTCTTATACAAGTATTTTTTTTTTTAATCCTCTGAGTCAAGTAACAGACATCCTCCATCATACAGAGATTATAATGAACATCTGCTGTAGCATTTGTAAAGCAGGAAATTAAATTCAGTGTATGATCCCAGGGAACTCATTAATGGAAGTCTTCTGGGAATACATACAAAAGATGATTACACCTCAAAGCTGCTGCCTAAAGACTGAAACGTAACTAGAATAAGTAAGAAACAGGCTACTATGACCCAGCCATGTATCCCAAACCCATGTCTCTTCCCTGTTAATGTTCTTTCCGCTAAGGAATAAAGTCAAACTACTAGGTTTTTTAAAAAATGTGATGACTATTATTAATATAAGTAAGCAAATAAAGCTATTACTAAAACTGCTAAGTCAAAATTCATTACAGACCCATCAAAAAGCTGCAGAATTACACCTTCTTGGCAATAGAGAAAACTATAAAAAGTTATCAAGGAAAAATTACACTTTGGATAATGAGTCAAATCACTAATATGACAAAAAAATTACAAATTGTTAGCTGTGTAGAAAATTGACCAAGAAATTAAATCGGCCTAATGGAGCTTGCCCCAGAAAATACTTTCACAAAACGTCCCCAGGGTTGAAACAGCTGGTCAAAACATTCTGTGTCACACAATGAGATATCACCTCACACCAGCCAGAATGGCTATTATCAAAAAGACAAGAAATAACAAGTGTCGGCAAGAATGTGGAGATAAAGGAACCCCTGTGTTGGTGGGAATGTAAATTGGTGCTGACACTGTGGACAACAACCCTCAAAAAATTAAAACTAAAACAACCATATGATCCAGCAATTCCACTTCTGGGTGTATATCCAAAGGGAAAAAAAACACTAATTTGAAAAGATATAAGCACTCCTATGTTCACTGCAGCATTATTTACAATAGCCAAGATATGAAAACAACCAAAATGTCCATGGATGGACGAATGGATAAAGAAAATGCAGTGTATATACACAACGGAGTATTACTCAGCTGTAAAAAAAAAAAAAAAAAAAAGAATGCAATCTTACCATTTGCAACAACATGGATGGACCTAGGGGTATCATGCTAAATGAAATAGGTCAGACAGAGAAAGACAAATATGATCTCATGTATAGGTGGAATGTAAAAAAACAAAACAAAACCCATAAATACAGAGAACAGACTGGCAGTTGTCAAAAGAAAGGGGATGTAGGAGGTGAGTGAAAGGAGTCAAGAGATACAAACTTCCAGTTAGAAAAGTCACTGGGGATATAATGTATGGCATGGTAACTATAGTCCATAATAAGGCATTGCAAACTTGAAAGTTGCAAAAGAGTAAATCTTAAAAGTTCTCATAAGAAAAAAATTTTTTGTAATTTTGTATGATGACAGATGGTATCTAGACTTATAATGGTGATCATTTTCTAATGTATACAAATATTGAATCATTATGTTATATACCTGAAACTAATACAATGTCTATTATACTTCAATTAAAAAAAAAAATTCTATATCCACTAAGTAACCCTGAGACTAGAGTAACTATAGCATTCTGGAATAGGAGCATGTTTGAAAAGAAATCCATGACACTACTAGTTTATTCTTCATGACATGCTTTATATGGAATACCAGTTAGAATGGGGAGAGCTGGTGAGAATTTTATAAGTCAATAAAATATGTAGGGCTAAAGACTGGTTTAAAGTCACGCCATTATTTTTCCTCTACCACAAAATATATAATATCACCCATTATTTTTTTCTTTTTTATAAAACACAGGGGGAAATACTGGTTAAAATACTTTTTGTTAAGCTATAAAGCTGTGAAGACATCTTTGTAAAAATAGTAACTGTTACTACTATTAATGTAATAAAGTGCACAAAGTTGGAAAATTCATACGGTATTCAGCATTACCTGTCTAGGGCACCTTCTAGGTGTTCGTGGGAAACATCGAAATAGTAATTGGTATGTTCTCCGCTAGTAAAGGCATTTGAACTTCCTGCGTGCTCACTGAGAAACTGGCTGTATTCATTTTCTTTAGGGTATTTCTTTGTTCCCAAAAATAGCATATGTTCACAAAAATGACTTAAGCCAGCAATATTTGGCGGATCTGACAATGAACCTGAAAGAAAAAAATACATACCACAAATCTTTTTTTTATGTTGAAAGTTATAAAATACAGATGGATTGCAGATGATGTGGAACTTCCATTAACATGACAACTCCAACCACACAGTCAGAGAAAGTTAGGCACAGGCTGCTCTAAAAGGGTACTGTTTCGATTCTAGCCTTAGCTTTTGATATTAATTAGTTGGTGACTTTGGGCAGATTACTTAAACTCTCTGGACATTAGTTTCCTCACACATCACACTGGAGGAAAAGAAAGGGTTGAATTCACTGTTTTATAAGAGCTAGAACGTTCTAGCTCTGACATTTTATTGCAGGAGATAATACAGTGTAGTGCTAAGAGTGTAGGTTTAGGGTTACCAGCTCTGCTGACTGTGAAACTGTGAGCACAATACCTTATCTTGCCGCAGTCACTTTTTCTATATATATCTACTCTAGAGAGCTGTGCGAACTCAAATCAAATGATATTTGCAAAATGCACTATGCTGTACTTGGCAATAATTATTTGTTCAATACATGATGGTTATTACCTTATTTCCTCAATTTTAAAATGCCACTGAGTTAAATAAAAGCTTTTCAGAGAGGAAAAAAAGAAACACACCTATGTACATACAGGTAAGAATCACCTGATTAAAGCCACATTAAATTTAAAAGGAAATGTGCACACAAGAATCTAGAAAATATGATTATTTCCTAGCGTACCAAAAGTGTACAAAAGCGAAAGCATTACCACTGCTAACTAAAGGATTAGAATTAATTTCGTTGCTGCTAGGTCACCTTAGCTGAGAAACTAACAAAATGTCTTGGTAAATAAATGTAAGATTATTTGATTTTGACAAATGTAGATTGCCAATAGCTGTGCAGGGCTATTGTACAAAGTAGGGTAGATCAAACTGTAACTAGGAAGTCTATTTGCACACACATGGAGAGTTCTAATAAATCTCAACATTAGATCAAGAAAACAGAACCAAGCTCAATTCACAATTTAAATTGTACCTATGTGCACATCAAGTGCTGCTGATGACTTATCCGTGGTCGGATCACTGATGAGAAGTACTTTGATACCATTGGCCAGCTCTAGCCCACGGTATTCTCGCTTGTCTTCGGGAGATTTGATAATGTGATTTCCTAGTCTCTTGATAGCTGGATTATTCATCTTGCTGTAAGTCTTCTCTTGGAAACTAAAAAGAAAAAAAAGTATTAATTCTTGCATTGTGGCTTTTTTTTTTTTTTTAAAGAATAAAGAACAATATCAAGCAAACCCATATAATACAACATCAGATAAAAAAATATCTGGAGAAAACTTTTTTTATAGCTCATCTACAGGGTATTAATTCCTCTCTTCCCTCTTACCCCTCATTCTTGTTAGAGAAATGCTAACAATATTGTTTCTGTGGAGTCCTATTTGATCTAGGAGAGCACCTGGGATGGATGGGTATTTGAGACAGGATAGGCTGGGTGATGAGCTGGTCAGTGGGCTGACCTAGAATGGGTTTTTAATTACCAATAACCACTTCCCCACATATTTCAGAAATATTTACTAAAGTAAGATGTGAGGTTGTGTAAAGGTTATTATAGGACCAAGCCAAACATTGCTCAACCTGATGATTCAAAGATAGGACAGAGCTAGAACTCATGGGTCTGATATGCACATGCTCAGAACATAGGGGACGACAATTACCAATGAGAAAAAAAACCTGTGAAGTCCTGATACAAATAAGACACCTGGGCTAAACTATGAAGGCAGAAAAAAAAGAAAGAAAGAAAAAGTATATACAAACAAAAAGTGGGAAGGATCCCAAGTAATTTTTATAATCTGGTGAAGTAGTCCTCTCCTTTCCTCTCTAGGAAAGCTGAGTTACCAAGATGGGAAGAGACTGTTAGCACACAGAATTCTGTAGGAGTACTGTCTGGTATTAGTGCAAGGAAGAGATGTTCCAGAGTCTGGGATTATGTATATTTTTGAGACTAAGAGTATATGCTATTTTTGTCTATGTTGGGGATCATACAAGAGACAAAAATAGCCTCTTATCATCAATTGGCCAATAGACTAATCGGGTAAAGCTCCAAACATCTGAGACTACAGAGGAAAAATGACCCTATGCTAGCATATTTTCTTCTTACCTGGAAGATAAAAGAAGTAGATCTGCCTGCTCCTTAAAGACTGATAGACGTCCAAGATTTAAAGGTAAATCAGAAGGGGCATAAATAGGCATATTATTATCTTCAATAAAACCTTTACTTTTCGTGTTAAAATATATGGAAAATAAGGGAAGGAAAAATTCAGTTTGCTTTTACCAGAACACCTTCCTCTCGAGGAATTCAGCTGTATAGGGATCAAACCATTCTGAACACCTACAAACTCAACAGGAGATGGAAGAAAAGAAAAGCAACAACTCTCTGAACAGAAAAGCAACCACTTTCTGGAAGGTAGGACGTGCGGAGAAATGAATCCGAGGTGATATTCGGGAGGATAAACGGTGGGGGAGGGGGCCTCCATCTGCCGCTTCTGGCAAGTGACAGAGCAACGGAGCACAAAATCGGAACTTTAGAAGTCTGCTCCGCTGAGGGACATCGCTCCGGTGGCTAAGCAGGGGGTGGAACCCTCGTGGGACAGTGTGGTCTCAGGACCCTCGGGTCACAGAAAGACCGGGGGTGCCTGAGTGCAGCAGAGCTCCCAGGTATGGGAGCGGGGAAACCGGCTGCAGAGACGGAGCCCACGCGCGGGCTCTCAGCTCAGGGTTGCCATAAACCCTGATCCGCGGCACAGTCGGGCCACTGCTCCTCCAGCAGGGACCCAACAAGCGGCAGATCCAGGGAGACTCACCTTCCTCCCCCCGGAGGAGCGGCGCAGAAGCGCACCACAGGGATCTGCTGGGTTAGGAGACTCCACACCTAGTCGGGTGCCAGAAATAGAAACTCTCGGTCACAGGCCGGTGAGCATGGAGTGCAGCCAGAGACCAGGGAGACGGGAGTGATTGACTGCTTTTCTCTGGGGGCTCACAGAGGAGCGGGGCCCTGAGTTCTCCGCTCCTCCAGGGCAGAGACTGGGAGACCGCCATTTTCACTCTCCTCCCCCAAAGCTGTAGGGAAAGCTTGCAGGAGAACAAAAGCTCCCTAGAGCAAACCCCAGCAGATTACTTAGCCTGGACCAGGCAAGGGCGGGGCAATTCCGCCTCAGGCAAAGACATTGGGAACCACGGCAACAGGCCCCTCCCCCAGAATATCAGCGAGAACAGCCAGCCAAGACCAAGTTTACCGATCAATGAGAACTGCAAAACTCCAGCGCTAGGAGAATACTGCACATAGAATCCATGGCTTTTTTTACCATGATTCTTTAGTCTTTCAAAGTTCATTTTTTTAAATTTTAACTGTCTTTTTTTTTTTTTGCATTTTTCTTTTTCCCTTTTTCAACTAACATCTTATCAATCCCTTTTTTAAAAAAAATTTTATTTTTCATTTTGAGTCATATTCTATCCCTTCATAGTAGTTACCCTTATTTTTGGCATATATATATAAGTTGTTCTCTCTTTAAAATTTTGAGATACAGTTTCTTCTAACAGATCAAAATATACCCTAAATCTCTAGTGTATGGCTTTGTTCTAGTCTCCTGCCTGATCACATTCCTTTTTTTTTTTTAATCCTCTTCTTTCTTTTTTCCAAACAACTTATCAATTCCTTTTATAATATTTTTTATAATTTTCATCTTTAAAGTCATATTCCATCCCTTCATCATATCAACCCTTATTTTTGTACATATATAAGTTTTTCTTTCTTTAAAATTTTGGGAGGCACTTTCCTCTAACAGACCAAAATACACCCAAAATCTAGTGTATGGCACTGATCTATGCACCAGCCTGATCATATTTGATCATATTCTGGTTTTGTTTTTTCTGGTTTTGTTTGTTTTTATCTTTTTCTTTTTTCTTTCTTTCCCTTTCTTTTCCTCCAGCTTCAGGTCTTTTCTGATTTGTTTAGAGTATATTTTCTGGGGACGTTGTTACCCTGTTAGCATTTTGTTCTCTCATTCATCTTTTCTCCTCTGGACAAAATGACAAGACAGAAAAAAATCACCTCAACAAAAAGAACAAGAGGTAGTACCAACTGCCAGGGACCTACTCAACATGGACATTAGTATGATGTCGGATCTAGAGTTCAGAATCATCACTTTAAGATACTAGCTGGGCTTGAAAAAAGCATGGAAGTTATTAGAGAAATCCCTTCTGGAGAAATAAAAGAACTAAAATCTAACCAAGTCGAAATCAAAAAGGCTATTAATGAGGTGCAATCAAAAATGGGGGTGCTAACTGCTAGGATGAGGCAGAAGAGAGAATCAGTGATATAGAAGACCAAATGATGGAAAATAAAGAAGCAGAGAAAAACTACTACTGGATCATGAGGGCAGAATTCGAGAGATAAGCAATACCATAAGACGAAACAACATTAGAATAATTGGGATCTTAGAAGAAGAAGAAAGAGAGAGAGGGGCAGAAGGTATACTGGAGCTAATTATAGCAGAGAACTTCCCTAACTTGGGGAAAGAAACAGTCATCAAAATCCAGAAGGCACAGAGAACCCCTCTCAAAATCAATAAAAATTGGTCAACACCCCGACATCTAATAGTAAAACTTACGAGTCTCAGAGACAAAGAGAAAATCCTGAAAGCAGCTCGGGACAAGAGATCTGTAACCTACAAGGGTAGAAACATTAGACTGGCAACAGACCTATCCACAGAGACCTGTCAGGCCAGAAAGGACTGGCATGATATATTCAGAGCACTAAATGAGAAAAATATGCAGCCAAGAATACTATATCCAGCTCAGCTGTCATTGAAAATAGAAGGAGAGATAAAAAGCTTCCAGGACAAACAAAAACTAAAGGAATTTGCAAACACAAAACCAGCCCTACAAGAAATATTGAAAGGGGTCCTCTAAGCAAAGAGAGAGCCTAAAAGCAACATAGACCAGAAAGAAACACAGACAATATACAGTAACAGTCACCTTACAGGCAATACAATGGCACTAAATTCATATCTTTCAATAGTTACCCTGAATGTAAATGGGCTAAATGCCCCAATCAAGAGACACAGGCTATCAGATTGGATTAAAAAACAAGACCCATCGATATGCTGTCTGCAACATACTCATTTTAGACCCAAAGATACCCCCAGATTGAAAGTGAGGGGGTGGAAAACCATTTATCATGCTAATGGACACTGAAAGAAAGCTCGGGTGGCAATCCTTATATCAGACAAACTAGATTTTAAGCCAAAGACTGTAATAAGAGATGAGGAAGGACACTATATCCTACTTAAAGGGTCTATCCAACAAGAAGATCTCACAATTGTAAATATCTATGCCCCTAACATGGGAGCAGCCAATTATATAAGCCAGTTAATAACAAAAGCAAAGAAACACATTGACAACAATACAATAATAGTGGGGGACTTTAACACCCCCCTCACTGAAATGGATAGATGATCAACAAGGAAATAAAGACTTTAAATGACACACTGGACCAAATGGACTTCACAGATATATTCAGAACATTCCATCCCAAAGCAACAGAATACACATTCTTCTCTAGTGCACATGCAACATTCTCCAGAATAGATCACATCCTAGGTCACAAATCAGGTTTCAACCGGTACCAAAAGATTCGGATCATTCCCTGCCTATTTTCAGACCACAATGCTTTGAAACTAGAACTCAATCACAAGAGGAGAGTCGGAAAGAACTCCAATACACGGAGGCTAAAGAGCACCCTACTGAAGAATGAATGGGTCAACCAGGAAATTAAAGAATTAAAAAAATTCATGGAAACCAATGAAAATGAAAACACAACTGTTCAAAATCTTTGGGATGCAGCAAAGGCAGTCCTAAGAGGAAAGTATATAGCAATACAAGCCTTTCTCAAGAAACAAGACAGGTCTCAAGTACACAACCTAACCCTACACCTAAAGGAGCTGGAGAAAGAACAGCAAATAAAGCCTAAACCCAGCAGGAGAAGAGAAAATAAAGATCAGAGCAGAAACCAATGAAATAGAAACCAAAAGAACAATAGAACAGATCAACGAAACTAGGAGCTGGTTCTTTGAAAGAATTAACAAGATTGATAAACCCCTGGCCAGACTTACCAAAAAGAAAAGAGAAATGACCCAAATCAACAAAATCATGAATGA